ATAGATAGATAGATAGATAGATAGATAGATAGATAGATAGATAGATAGATAGATAGATAGATAGATGATAGATAGATATGCAAGAACAAGACAAAAGATAAATGAACATATAACACACAATCCACGTAAATATATATAAAATTTCTATGGGTATACGGCTGTGGATTCATAACTATATGTCCAATTTAGGTCTCCAAGTGATTGCCTCTGGGATGGGTGCGGGTTTTTTTTTTTTGAAATTTTGCACAAATGTGTTTAATACAGGTAGTCCTTGACTTATGACCACAACTGAGACCAAAATCTCTTAAGTGAGAGAGTCGTTAAATGAATTCTACCCCATTTTAGAACCTTTCTTTCCATGGTTGTTAAGTGAATCACTGCAGTTCTTAAGTCAGTCACATGGCCACTAAGTGAACCTGGCTTCCGCCTTGACTTTTGCTTGTCAGAAGGTCACAAACCGGGATCATGTGATCCCAGGACATTGCGACCGTCATAAATATGAGTCAGTTGCCAAATGTTTTGAATTTTGACCACAGGGATGTGCAACGGTCATAAGTATGAAAACGGTCGTAACTCCCTTTTTTCAGTGCTGTTGTAACTTTGAACAGTCACTAAATGAATGGTTGTAAGTCAAGGACTATCTATAGTTTGCATTTTGCAACAAAGGGAATCTTTCCATCCCCAGGGACAAAGGTTTGAGCAACGTAAATGAGTAAAAAACTCAGATTAAATTCTGCTGTGCTGTATTTGTGATCTGGAACCTTTCTGTGAATTCCAGAGGCTAAAATCTCTCCGTTCTCTTTTCTTGTTAGGAGATCGAGAAAGTGCAGGAATCAAAGAAAACATGAAATTCTCCTAGCGGTGGAGATCCACTCAACCTTTGGAATCATTCCTCAATGTGTTTCATTGTGATTATTATTGTGCTGTGTTTTCAGAAAAACACTCGTAAATCCATCCAAATGTATAAATTACATTCCTTTTTAGCTCGCTTCTCCTGTGAAATCTTCCTCAACACTTTCTATTAAAGGAGAAAAGTTCCTGTCTGCTTATTCTACCTGATTCTTTTTTGCGTTTTGACACGCAGGGGAGAAAAACAATAATAAAGGGAATTGAAAGTGTCATAAGGCGGCTTTAAAATCCCACTTTTGATGAAGTTTCCCACATTTCTACAAGAGAAATCTATGTCCTGTTTTGGATTGAATAACCCAGAATGTCATTTATCCCTGTTGTGCAATGGGGTTTTTTTTTTGGGGGGGGGGGTGTAGTGGCCCAGACTCAAAACAAGCCAGTTTTGGGGTGAGGATCCTTTGGTAACCCTCAAAACAGACCACAATAGATTCTCTAATCCATCTTTGATCAAAAAATACATAATAACAGAGTTGGGAGGGACTTCCAAAATCTTGCCATGTTTTTGTTTTTATTTAAGGCTGTCTATTCTCATTAAAATGAATTCTGCATTGGTGCCCTTAAGTAATATTTCCACTGTTATTAAGCGAGGCAGCCCCCTGCCTGCCAGCAGGGAAATATTCTGCATTCTGGCCTCCTTCCTTGTGATGCACTACTGAAAATACACACACACACACACAAACACACAAACACAATTTGACAGTTTGTCCATCATCTTCAAAATGCCCCAGCGGAATTTAAATCAGCAGCAATTTGTCTTCGGTGACCCTTCAAGATTACGCTAGAAAGGGCTAATAAAAAAATTAGGCATTGTGCTCTAACAGAAAAAATGTCAGTTTTACATCAGTGTCGTCCACTGGAAGATAAGATGGGCTTCCAATTCCCAGAAGTGCCCAGCCGGCATGCCTAAAATTATATATCAACCTTTTTTTTAAAAAAAAAATAATAATTTTTATCTTTGTAATTTTTTTTAAAAAAACATTTCTTCTTTTAAAAAAAATTAAAGAATTTAAATTTTAAAAAATATTTTTTATAATTATTTTTTAAAATTACTATTTCATTTTTTAAAAAAATTAATTTTAAAATTACTTTTATTTGCATTAACAGAAACACTGCTTCCAATTCAGAGGATTTGTTCCCATTAGGTTTTGAATGGATTAAAACTCACTTGGGGGCGAGGGGGGGGGGGCGCGAGGCTTTCTGTAACCAATTCAGGGAGGGAAGCACCCCCACTTGAAAACAGGCTCAGAGAAGCCACAGTAGGTTCCAAAGTCTTAAACAGGTAGTCCTCAACTTACAATTGTTCATTTAGTGACCATTAGATGTCACAACAATGCTGGAAAAAAAAAAGATTTATGGCCATTTTTCACACAACCATTGCATCATCCCCCTGGTCACGTGATCAAACCTCGGACTTTTGGCCACTGACTTAATAACGGAATTATTGTATTGTATTGTATTGTATTTTATTTTATTATTTGTATGCCGCTCTTCTCCGGGAGGACTCAGGGCGGCGAACAATTCAAGGGGGGGGNCTCCTGCTGCCTGGGGAATTCTGGGACTTGAAGTCCACTCCTTCCTCCTAGTGAATTCTGGGGCTTGAAGTCCACCTGGAGTTGTCCTGCTGTGCTGGGAGCCTTGCAGTCGAAGCTCCCCTATTGTGGGGAGTGGGGGAAGCTAAGGCCCTCTCAGTGGTGGCAGCTGACGGGGAAGTTATGCATCCCCTGCCTGCCCCCCTTTTTGGGGAAGTGGGGGCCCCCAGCGCCACCCACCCTCCCCCTTCCTTGGGAGACAGTCTTATTCCTGGTGTGAAATCTCCAGATCTCGGGCGGGAGAGGAAGGAAGGACCCAGCAGAACGACTAGAAAGCAGGAAGGAAAAAAAAATGGAGAAGTAGTGCAGAGAAGATGTTGCAGAGATGCAGACAGGAGGGGATGGAAAACTTTTCCACATCTCCGAAGAATTCCTAGTATGTCCATTTTGTCCTTCTTTCCATCCTTTTCTCCTCTTTTTTTTTTTTTTTTGCAATTTTGCAACTGCTTGCAAATTCCTTCTGAGCAAACATTTTGCAAGTTGCGTAGACGGCTTCTAAAAACCCTCTTTTGTTCGTAAGGTTGAATCCTCAGACCTAACTTTTCTTTTTAAGAGCTCCTGGCCTTGGAGGAAGCGTGCAAAAATAGGGAAAATGGGTGTGCAAATTTCTTTTTATTTATTTTTTCCTTCGGGGGGTCCGTTGTGTTTGCTAGGCCAGCAGTGGTGGTATTTTTGAGATCTGGTATTTAGTTTTCAGTCCTAATTTGGTACTTTATGCACACTATTTTTAACCCCTTTTGATTGGCTGGAAGTCCTGAGTTTTCTCTTGCACAAATCGGTGAACTTTTGTGATTTGTTTTGTAGGTTTCTGCGTGTGTAAGAGTTGGAGCTCAATTAGATTTCAATGGCTGTGTTTGTCATATAGCCAGTTCAGGATGGAATTATAAAATCATGAGAAGATTCAACTTGCATAGGATAAAGTACTTCTTCTGTGAAGCTTATAAGCCCCAAATATAGAAATTATAAATAAAGAGTGTGCCAATTAAGGTTCTGAGTTTTTATTTATTTGGGGCATTTTAGCCAATGCAGTGTACTTATTGTAGTTGTGTATGGTAATTATAAATTATTTTTATTATAAACCTTATAAACAATATAAACTAAAAAATACCGCAATTAAGATAATAATGAAGATGGAATTTACTTTCCCTCTTGGGGGCAATTTAGCAAATGCCATGTAGTCGTGATACTTGCATGTGATAAATATCATCAGTTATTTTGACTATAAATATTTATAAGCAAAAACATAAATACGTTTTGTGCCAATTAAGGATAAAATATCAAGGTTACTTCCAATCTGGGGCATTTTAGAAAGTGAAATGTAATTATTGTATATTGTACTTGCATATGATAATTCTCAATTATCTTTGTTATAAATATTATAAGCAAACATTAAATTATAAATAATGTGTGTTGCCAATGAAGAATAAAAGATCTGGAGCATTTTGTCAAATGTAATGTAATTACGGTACCAGCCTTTGATAATTATGCATTACTTTTATGATAAATGTTATGAGCAAAATCTAAATGATAAATAATTATAGATATTTGTAAATCTTGCACCTGTGGCCCAATTGATTAATTGGTAAAAATAGATTCTTCTTCCCATTTAAGCAAATGCTTAAATAATGATAATGATAATAAATTACTTTTATTATAATTAAAATATAAATGATGAATTATAATGCAATACTATTAGTGCATCCATACAAGGACTGTAATTACGATGAAGTGTAAGGATGTGTGCTGATTAAGAATAAGAGATGGTGTTTATTTTAATATTTGGGGCATTTTAACAAACTCTGGTAGTGGTTCTTTTTAAAAAAAATAATAGATGGGCAAAAGGTTGCTATCTTGTTTTTAAACTCATGCTAACTTTTAATTGTGTTAAGTGTGAAAGTAAGAGATGAACACACTTTAGTAGGGAGAAAAAGTGTTTCAGAGGATCCTTGATGCTCTCTGAGCTTGGAGGGTAATTTGCAGACGTTCCATGACCCAGCTAGGTAACAACATCAGTGCTGGAAGGGAGTGGGGGTTCTTGGAGAGGAGGAAGAGAAGGATTGGGGTGTGTGTGTGTGTTCTTGGTGCTCTCTGAGGTTGTTGGATTTCCTGCAGACGTTTCATGACCCAACTAGGGAACATCTTCAGTGTTAGAGGGGAGTGGGGTTGTGGAGAGGAGGCGGGGGGGGGATTATTGTGGGGTCCTTGGCGCCTTCTGAGCTTGGAGGTTTTCTTGCAGACGTTTCATAACCAAAGTAGGTAACATCATCAGTGCTGAAAAGGAATAAGGTTTGTGGAGAGGAGGAGGAGGAGGAGGAGGAGGAGGAGGAGGACTGTGGGGTCCTTGGAGCTCTCTGAATTGGTTGTTGGCTTGCAGACATTTAATGACCCAACTAGGTAACATATTCAGTGTTATTAGGCCCGTGATGGCAAACTAATTGCATGCATGCCACAGGTGACATGCACAGCCCACTCTTCGGGCATGCCAGCCGAAACCTAGCCCAGCTCCTCCATGCAGCCGCACGGGCCTCCTGCTGGTCTATGGGTCTCTGCCATGTATGTGCAGGGGCGTGGTGCATGCAGGGGACATAAGTGCACATGTATTGGGGGGGGCACCCGTATTGCATTTTGGAGGTTCGCGTACCCCCCTCCAATTTGGGGCCTGGATGGCCTCCTCCACCAACCTGAAAGCCAAAAATGGGCAAGGGGGTGCATGCGGCAGTGTTTTTTTTTCCCTATTAGAGTGTCTGGGGTGATTGATTGATTGATTGAAAATTGATTCTTCGTGTACAGCACCTAGCACAGTGATGGCTAACCTTTTTGTCGCCGTATGCCAAAATAATGCAATGCGTGCTTGACAGCCCCCCCACNTTTTCACCCCCCAGCCTGAGTGATGGAATATTGACCAAGTTTTTGGGAGGAAAACACAACAGCCACTCGGTCTTGTCTGGATTGAGTACCCCCATCGAGCCCAACGCTTTTGTTGCTAAGTAAGTCATTTGTTAATTTGAGTTTTCCCCACTTTATGAGCCTTTTGCCACAACCGTTAAGTGAATCACTACAGTTAAGTAAATCACACAGTCGTTAAGTGAGTCTGGCTTCACCATGGACTTTTGTTTGTCAGAAGGTCGCAAAAGGAGATCACGTAACCCTGGGACACAGCCATAAATACGAGGCAGCTGCCAGTGTCTGGATTTTGATCTGGTGACCATGACGTATATTGCAACCGTCATAAGTGTGAAAAATGTTTTTTTTTCCAGTGCTGTTGCAAGTTCAAACGGTCACTAAGCAAATGGTTGTAAGTCAAGGACTATCTGTATAGCAACAAAAATTGGTGTCATGCTGCTAATTTCAAAATTAACGTTTTTTTTTTCCTCCTTGCAAGTTACCAGTTTATTATAAAGTTGCATTATCCTAAATAAATTCATGCATAAATGCAAATTAAATTTATCCCGGTTCTAACTGGAATCCAGGCACAATATTGTTTTAAAACTTTTAAGCTCACTGCAATCTTATGAACCCCCCCACCCCTCCATCCAGAAAAGGGGGAATCCTTCCCCTAAAAGTTTCTTTTCTTGAGAAATCATAATTTCCAATATTTTTCAGGCCTTTTCTTTATTTCAGAGGGGAGGAAGAGAAGAGGAGGAGAGAGCGGATGGAGGCGCATTTAGTCTGAAGGGCTTTAAGCAGCCGAGGCTTTATAAGGGCAAAACTTTGCAAACTTTCAGGGCGAGCGGGGAGGGGGGGGGAGAAGAAAAGGGATTGGAAAGAAAGAAAGAGAGAAGAGAGAGAGGGAGGAAAAGAAAAAAAAGAACGAGGAAGGAAAGGAAGGAGAGAAGGAAGAAACAAAAAAGAAAAAGAGGGAAGGGAGGAAAAAAGGAGGAGGGAGAAGGGAAGGAAGCTTCGGAGCTCAGTCCAAGCCCCCTCCCCAAAAACACCCATCGCCATCTCGGACTCGCGCCTTGCAATAACCTTTTGCAAACGTTCCCTGCGCCGCGTTTTGCGCGCTTCCAGCGGGCAGCAGAAGCGACTCTTCCGTCCCGGGACGGGCCTTTTTCCCTCCGGAGGGGGCGTCCCAACCTGTCCCCCTCTTCCCCGGTGGGTCTGCAAGCCGCCTCTGCGCTCCAGAGGCCCCCTTTCCATGGCCTGGATGTGCGCGCAATTGCGCACCCGGAGCCGCGGCGCTTCCAGGGGTTGTAACGGCTGCTGCAGCTGCTGCGGGTGGCCGCTGTCTGGCCCACCCAGGAGGCAGAGGGAGGAGGGCTGGTTGCATTCAGACGTGCATCCTTCACCGTGCACGGGGCTCTCCTAACCGGCTCCGGTGTGAAAGAAACCGAGGCGGCATTGCCTCGGGTGTCGGGCGCTGTTTAAACCAGACCGGCTTCTGCTCCAGCCCCAACCCATCCCGCTTGTCGTCTGAACCGGGCAGAAGGTCCCGAGAGGTGAGTGGCCTCTGGCGGGAAAGAAAAATCTGGCCGTCCCCGTCCTTCTCCGGAGTCCACACGTACCTTTTTTCCTCCTCTAAAGAGCCGCCTTTGCGAGCAGCCAAGCAGTTCCCAGACACGCGCCCCCTTTTCCCCATGCTGCGTTCTCACGACCTGCTGGGATGAAGGGAGTTCAGTTGCCGAGCTTTCTGAGCACGGGACGGTTGCAATGGTCATAAGTCATTTTTTTCTCAGGACAGTTGCAACTTCAAACTGTCATTAAACAAATCGTTGCAGATGAAGGTTTACCTTGGTTCTTGGGAGAACTAATGCGAACGGCTGGGCAAGGTGCATATTTTATTTATTGTGGCATAAAATGACCTGGGAGATGGCAGTTGCATTGATGTAGAAGCTAAATCTACTCCTGGAACATTGACCCTTGAGGTCATCCAGTCCAACCCCCTTTCACTGAAAATGAAATTTGATTGACAGTTTCCTTTATTTGTTTTTTTTTTCAGGATCTGGAAAAATAACAAACAACTGCAATTCTGGACAGCCAGTTAGATCCATTGTTAACAATCGTAGCCTGGCCCAGGTGAGTGGCGGATCTATTTGGATCTCTTGGAAGGCTGCCAATCTGCTCCCCCTTCTCTCGCACCCCAAGAACCTGACCATTAAAGTGGAAGCATCAGGGGCTGATGTTGAGGTATTCACTGGTATTATGTCCCCAATGGAGTCCAAAATCTCCATTACTAAGCAAGACAGTTGTTAAATGAGTTTTGCNTGATGGATGGATGGATAGATTGATTGATTCAGAGAGGATGCCATGTGCAGACCCTCACTGGTTTTCCAAAAAAATTAAAATTCTTGAAACCACACGGACCTGATCGCAAACACAGTGAGACGATCCTCTAATTAAAAGAACAATTTGGGAAAAGGGCAAAGAATTTCAAACTTTTCCACCCCCCGGCCAAAAAAATAAATAAATTCCTGGGCACTTTCCAGATCCTTTTTCAACTTTCTCCCCGTAATTCCTTTGCACCGGATTCAACCCGGCCCTTGATAGGATCCCATAAAGACACGTCCTTGGCCTCCTCCCTTGTATCCACCAGGATTCCGCATCCCTGCCAGCCTCACTCTTTGGCCACAGGAACCCTTCATACCTGTGCTTTCCTGGCCAAAAAAATTTAGATTTCCAGCAGTGGAAAATTCAAAAGTCCCTTTCGGACAGGACGGAGGGGCCTTTTAGGAGCGACCGGTGGATTTCCTGCTGCCATTTTCCAGTTCATTAAGACTCCTGAGGGCATCGAGTTTCGGAGACACCGCATTGCTTCGCTTTGACTCATAAACTGGGTGTTGCGATACGCCTAGTTTCCACCTATTGAAATACGGCCGTTTGCTGGCCCGCACAGGAACTGACCCTTCCATTGTTCGCTGGAGGGATGATGACACATGGAAGGATAATTACCTATTCTTTCTTTCGTTCTTGGTGCCTTTCCCGAAATTTGAAGCAATTTTATTTTACTTTACTTTATTATTATTTTTTGCTGAGGCACAAATTTATTTGGAATAAGGGAAGGGGCTGCGGGAAAACTCCCCCCCCCCAAACATAAAATACAATGATAGAATGGAACTGGAATGGAATTGAGTAGATTAGAGCAAAAAAGAATAGAATAGAACAGAAAATAGAATAGAATACAGAATACAGAATAGAAGAGAGAAGAGAAGAGATTAAAATAGAGAACAGAAGAGAATAGAATGTAGAATAGAAGAGAGAAGAGAAGAGATTAAAACAGAGATTAAAATAGAGAACAGAAGAGAATAGAATGCAGAATAGAATAGAGTAGAATAGGAATAGGAATGAATGGAATGGAACAGAACAGAACAATAGAACTGGAAGGGACCTTAGAGGTCTTCTAGTCCAACCCCCTGCTCAGGCCGGAGAACCTACGCTATTTCAGACGTGACTTTCTAAGAAGTGATCATTTAGTGACCAAGGTTTGTGTGCATTGTTGTTCTGCAGGTAATCCTCAACTAACAACTGCAATCGAGTGTGGAATTTGAGTTGCTAAGTGAGACATTTGTTTAGCGAGCTTCTTCCCTACCTTTCTTGCCGTGGTTGTTCAGTGAGTCACTGTGGTTGTTAAGTGAGTCATGCGGTCATTGAATGAACCTGGTTGACGTCACTTGTCAGGAGGTCGCAAAAAGGGATCACGTAACCGCAGGACATTGCAACCGTCATAAGTACGAATCAGTTGCCAAGCATCTCAATTTGGATCACGTGACCATGGGGGGGGGGACGCTGCAACGGTCGTAAGTGTGAAAAATCTTCATCAGTCACTTTTTCCGTGCTGTTGTAACAGTCGCAGTGCTGTTTGAATGGTCGCTAAAATGAACTGTTCTAAGTTGAGGACTAATTGTACTGCTTCCCTAAAGAGATGCAGTTTCATTTTGTCCCTTGGAAAACACTACCGGTAGTCCTCAACTTACAACGGTTTAGTGACCGTTCAAATTTGTAATGGCATTGGGGGAAAAAGGACTTATGACCATTGTTCACACTTACGACCATTGCAGCGTCCCCTTGATCACGTGATTACAATTCGAATGATTGACAACTGACTCGTACATATGACAGTCACATGTCCTGGGGTCACGTGATCCCGTTTTGCGACTTTCTGACACGCCAAGTCAATGGGGAAGCCAGACTCACTTAACAACCCACTTTATTCCAAGTGAGGCTTATTCAGGCTTAAAATCTGCATTTCTTTGTTCAGGTTTAGTTTTTAAAAGGCTGCTATGGGTAGTCCTCAACTTACAACCATACACTCAGTGACCTTTTGAAAGAAGTGACTTAACAACAGCAATGACTCACTTAACAACTCTGGCAAGAAGGGTTGTAAAACAGGGCAACACTAGCAATTGTCCCGCTTAGCCACTGAAATTTTGGGTTCGGTTGTTATAAATCAAGGACCATCTGTATTGTGTGACTTTTAGTTTATCTTGAGTGTTGGAGGGGTTGCCGATAGATTTGTAGCCAGTGGGTGCCATTAAACACACACATTGCCACACGCGTGACAACACACACAAACGCACAAATATACAAACAAACACGTCATGTCTGAACTCTGCGTCTACATGAGGTCTATGAAAGTGTTTCTGAATCTTGATCACCTGATAATGGGTGGATTTCCATTCCTAGAATCCCCCAGCCATCATGCTTTAAGAGGGGAGGACTTCAGCTCCCAGAATCCCCCATCCAGCTATGCTTTAAGAGGGGAGGACTTCCACTCCCAGAATCCCCCANGTAGCCTGCAGTGCTGCATTTAACCACTGCGCCACCTCGGCTCTAGAGCAGTGGATAGGCCTAGGTTATAGTAACCTTTACTTCAACTGTACAGTATTGTATGATTTATTTTAATGGTCAAATGAACTCCATTGATCCACCTATAAACAAGAACAACGTATGTCATTTTAGAAGATAGTCAACTTCCATATTAATTTGATGTGAGTGGAGCCGGTCAGGTTTTTTTTTTCCACGTATGAAACCGTTTTGGGACATGTTTGGGACGGAAAGTACATTTTGATACAATTTGGATGGGGACTAAAATGTATATTACTCTTTTATGCCAACTTTTCCTGGCGAAATATGTATTTCTCTCTCTGTGACAGGCAGAAAATCATGACTACCTGATGGAAAAAGTTTACCACATTTACCAAATTTAAACATAGATCAATGGGATCATCCCTTTCAGGACTTATAGTGGAGGTTGTTATGCAATGTCTAGAACAGTGTTTCTCAACCTTGGCAACTTGAAGATTTCTAGACTTCAAGTCCCAGAATTCCCCAGCCAGCGAATGCTGGCTGGGGAATTCTGGGAGTTGAAGTCCAGACATCTTCAAGTTGCCAAGGTTGAGAAACACTGATATTAGACTGCCTAGTAAACCTCTAGTAGGCCAGAGGGTTTTAGAAAAATCAATGCGCCATGTTCCTTCCCTAGGTAGTATATAACTATAAATATATGAGCGGTCCTCGACTTACGACTTCAGTTGAGCCCCAGATTGCCGTTGCTAAGTCGCCAAGTGGGTTCTGGCCCGTTTTACGACCTTTCTTGCCACAGTTGTTCGTCTGGGCAGTTGCTAAGCTGGGAACACGGTTGTTAAGTGAATCCCTGCCATCCTTAAGTTACTGACACGGTTGTTAAATGAATCTGGCTTCCCCCTTTGAGTTTGCTTGTCAGAAGGTCGGGAAAACGGGATCACGTAAGCTCGGGACACCATGACCGTCATAAATATGAACCAGTTCTCAAGCCTCTGGTGTGGCCATGGGGACACTGCAACGGTCGTAAGTGTGAAAAGCAACTCCCTTTTTTTCATTGTTGTTGTAACTTTGGGCTGTCATTAAATGAAAGGTTGTAAGTTGAGGACTACCTGTAACTATGGGTCTTCGCAACAGTCCCCTAGGGCCGTGAGGGGAAACCTGTGGCGTGAATGCCACAGGTGGAACACAGAATCCTCTCTCTGTACATGCCAGCCGTCCCCCCAGCCCAGCTTCACTGCATGAGTGCACGCTTCATAATGGTCTTCGGGTCTCTGCTGTGCATGCATGAGGGGGGGCATATGCGCGGGATGCACATGCGCGAGGGGCGGGGTGCATTCACAGGGAGGCACTCACATTGCACTGCGCCCCGTTTTTGGTTCCCGGGTTGCTGCGGGAGGCTTTCTTGGCCCAAAACGGGACATTGAGGGGCTGTGCAACCCGCCGTGCCCCGTTTTGGGCCTGGAAAGCCTCCTGCAGCAACCTGGGAACCAAAAATGGGGGAGGGGGGGCAGGGCGCATGCACGGGAGGGGCAGGGGAGCGTGGGGGGGCCACATGCGTATGCGCAAGGGGAGCACACATGGGGAGGGGATTGCACGCACATTGCCTTATGGATGCGGGTGCACACTGCTGTGCTTTCAGCACAGGAAAAAAAAAATGGCTAGCCATCCGTGTCCTAGGCCAGGGGTCGGCAACCTTAAACACTCAAAAGAGCGACAAAGGTCCTAACCGGAAGCCCCCCGTTCAATTATGGAGCCGACCGGAAGTCCGGTTCCCCCACCATAGAGTCTCCTCCTAGCACGGCGTCCTTTTACCTTCACCTCTCCTAATTGAAAGCCCTATCAATGGTCGAGCCGACCGGTGACAGGGAGCCACAGCAGAGGGATGAAAGAGCCACATTGCGGCTCCAGGGCCGCAGGTTGCCGACCCCCGTCCTAGGGCAAACTTTGTACGGCACGAGAGACGTTTTTACCAAACAAATGGTCGTAAGTCAAGTACTATCGGGAGTGTTTCCCAGCATGCAGGATCCGGGGCAAAAGGAAATTTGGTCTCCTGGGGGAAGCGAGAGACATCCATGCACGCAAACTCAAAGGAGGGGGGAAAAATTCTCAGTATTGGCAGACTTGCAAATGTGAGAAACGAGAGCCAGGAAGGGCTGGCCTTGAGAGATTTGTAGCCACTCAGAGAAACAAAAATGCATTTTTGCACATAGATTTCTTCTCCTGGAGGGAGCAAATTCGTGGAAACATCCCCAAGACTTTTTGCACGAGACAGGAGG